GAAGAATTAGCAACGACGGCAGAAAAAGCTGCAAGAGAAGGAAATACGAAACAGCTTTACGATACAACGAAGAAACTAGCAGGGAAATACAGTAAACCAGAGAGACCGGTCAGAGACAAAGAAGGCAAGCCAATCACTGAAATTCAACAACAGCGAGACAGATGGGTAGAATACTTCGAGGAACTCCTGAATAGGCCGGCTCCAATGAATCCACCGGACATCGAAGCAGCACACATAGATCTTCCTATAGATGTCAACCCACCAACGACGGAAGAAATCAGAGTGGCCGTCAGACAAATCAAGAACGGGAAAGCAGCAGGACAGGATAATATACCAGCTGAAGCACTGAAGTCAGACATCGAAGTAACTAAAAACATGCTTCACCTTCTATTCAAAAAGATTTGGGAGGAGGAACAAGTGCCGACGGATCGGAAGAAGGACATCTTATCAAGATTCCAAAGAAAGGAGATCTGAGCAAATGTGAAAACTACAGAGTCATTACACTACTGTCAGTACCAGGGAAAGTCTTTAACAGAGTGTTGCTGAACCGGATGAAAGATGCATTAGACACCCAACTTCGCGATCAACAGACCGGATTCCGTAAGGATCGGTCGTGCACAGACCAAATTGCGACACTACGAATCATCGTTAAACAATCAATTGAGTGGAACTCGTCACTATACATCAACTTCATTGATTATGAAAAGACACTTGACAGTGTAGATAGGAGGACATTATGGAAACTTCTTTGACACTACGGAGTTCCGCAGAAGATTGTCAATATTATCCGGAACTCATACGACGAACTACAGTGCAAGGTCGTGCATGGAGGACAGCTGACAGATGCATTCCAAGTAAGGGTCGGAGTCAGACAAGGCTGTCTACTCTCTTCCTTCCTCTTTCTTCTGGTGGTCAACTGGATTAAGAAGACCTCGACATCTGAGGGAAAACACGGAATACAATGGACAGCTCAGAACCAATTAGACGATTCGGACTTCGCAGATCACCTAGCCCTCCAATCCCACACACGCGAACAAATGCAGATAAAGACAACTCGTGTAGTGGTAGTCTCTGCATCAGTAGGCCTCAACACACACAAGAGGAAAACCAAGGTCCTCAATTTCGAAACGGAGAACAGCGATCCAATCACTCTTGATGGCGAAACTCTGGAAGATGTAGAATCATTCACATACCTGGGAAGCATCATCGATGAACAAGGAGGATCCGATGCAGACGTAAAGGCGAGGATTGGCAAAGCAAGTAGAGCATTCCTACAGTTGAAGAACATATGAAACTCAAAACAACTTTCAACCAATATCAAAGTGAGAATCTTCAATACGAACGTCAAGGCAGTTCTACTGTATGGAGCTGAAACTTGGAGAACTACAACAACCACAATCAAGAAAGTACAAGTATTTATAAATAGCTGTCTACGCAAGATACTCAACATCCATTGGTCGGATACCATCAGCAACAGCCTTCTGTGGGAGAGGACAAACCAGCTTCCAGCTGAAGAGGAAATTAGGAAAAGATGATGAAAATGGATAGGACATACATTAGGAAAGTCGTCAAACTGCATCATGAGACAAGTGCCAACTTGGAATCCTGAAGGGAAGCGGGAAAGAGGAAGGTCAAATAAGAGATTACGTCGGGAAATCGAATCAGATATGAAAAAGATGAATAATAATTGTAAAGAGCTGGAAAGGATTGCCAAGGACAGGGTTGGATGGAGAATGCTGGTGAGCGGCCTATGCTCCTTCACGAGGAGTAACAGGCGTAAGTAAGTAAGTAAGTCTTTAACAAGATCAAAAACATAAACACTAAATAGCAGACGATGACGTTCTTGGACATAACATTATTGTAGACAAATGTACTACACAGGGAGACTGTTGAATATCTTTATGAACGGCATAGAGAACAGGAAACAGAGACTACAATCCCTGTGGATATCATGAAGGAATTATTACCAAAATGTACTACGAACGTAAACTTCAAATTCAATGGCGAAATATATCGGGATATAAATGGTGTCGCAATGGGTTCACCACTAGGTCCCATATTGGCTTATATTTTTCTCACTAAATTAGGAAACGATCCATCAGCACAGAACATCGGCAAGTTTGATCTTACTGTCGATATATGAACAACACGTCTATCCATTGTTGCGATCATACTGACCGGATAGAGACACTTGGCTGATTTAATGAAATTCATCTATCTATTAAATTCCTATGTGACGAAGAAAGTGGAGACAGAATAGCCTTTCCAGTTATTCTACTTACAAAGAGAATAGATGGGTCATTAATAAGAAACTTGACCAAAAAACTACTTCAACCGGCCAATATACAGATCTTCTTAGTTAATCTCTGTACAATATAAGAGAAACCTGATAAAGACACTTCATTATAGAACCATGACCATATGTGCCCTAGATGCGGTTGATGAAGTAACGAAGGCATTGAGTATTACTCTGAAGAAAAATGGGTATCTGGAGAAATTTATGAGTAATCATTTAGCCATGTAAAGGGACTATAAGGGAGGCGCAAATGTGAGCAAAATGTCTCTATATAAATGCTTATAATTTGGAGGCGATGAGCTCAGTGAAGTGCTAATACTGAAGTTAAAAAGAGTAAACCAAAGAACTTTTAGTGAAGGAAAACTACAATTAATGTTTTTTTGCATGTCCGATGATCACTCCAAGAATGAAAGTTAAATTATCTAGATTATCCACCTCTTTCTTTATCTATCTATTTAATAGCTCTTGTGGAGCAAGTTTTATCGGCAAGTGTTCTAGGAATTTGTATTTTCTTGTTTGTGAGCACCTCCTAGTGTGGTTAAGAAAAAGTATAGTTAAAACTGTTAACAGCTCGATTTTAGCTCATTTAGTACAAACGGAGCATGCGACTAACGTGGAGCAGTCATCTACAATAATATATTGTGTTAACATCAGTTTGACTAAATCCACCAGACTCCTGAAGCAATAGTCATTCGAATCAAAAACCCGGAGCTTTGCATTCAGAAAAAAATGTATTCAATCGCTCCTTTCACCTTGGCCAACTTCTAGCCCAATTAGTTAATAATCATTTTGATCATATTCGATTATTGTTCATACAACCTTCCTTTATGCATTTTCATAGCTTAAATTTAGACACATTATTATTACTGTTGTTATTACCCTTGTTACCACTATTGTTATAATACATACAAAAGCTTTGAGGTAGTTATTCAGCCCGTTCTTTTCTAATTCTACATATTACATGATTTCTAATTTGTAATTGCATCATTAACTCTTCAACACCATGTTAACCATATTTCTTCTGATTATTAATCTCAATTTTAAAACACCATTATATGAACGAAGAATGTTCTTTTCAATAATTTCTCATCAGGTTCTACAATTATATGTCCAAATTAATCATCCATAAAATTGGTCAGGTTGAAGGCAGATTGTATCATCAGGGGTACCACTGAAAATCGGGGAGCAATATATAGTTATTTTATACTAGTGTAAGTCTCAGCAGTAGGTACTCACAATTCAACCAAAAGTCAAATCAAGAACCTTTATGTCTCTCAGTGAAGTCTCAATTACTTCTGAATTTTTAATCAGATGTGGCTATTGGAATTCATACATATATATAAAGAGTAAAAGAGTTGTCAGCAGTAATATTAGACGACTATCGCTTTAGATCGCAAATTTATTGATCATCATATTTTAAACCATCGGTTCTAACGGTTAATCAATCATTGCGGGACTTTGAAAGTCCTCGTTTAATCCTTGGTAAAATTATAAGTCTCTACTGAAAAGACGTTTTATAATACAGCTAAACAGCTATTTTTTTATTTTTAGTAAATACCCCAACTTAGATTTATAACGACTTACAATCTAAAAACCAAGACAATATCTATAAAAGCTCCTCCAATTAATATAATAAAATTATTTACTTACTTACGCCTGTTACCCCCAATGGAGCATAGGCCGCAGACCAGCATTCTCCAACCCATGCTGTCTTCAGCCTTCTTTTCTAGTTCTATCCAATTGTTGATAATTCTTCTCATGTATGTCCCCATTTCTCAGCGTAATATGTTCTTTGGTATTCCTCTTTTCCTTTGTCCTTGAGGATTCCAAGTGAGAGCTTGTCTTGTGACGCAGTCGGGTGATTTCCTCACTGTGTGTCCTATCCACTTCTAGCACTTCTTCCCGATTTCCTTCACCTCTGGGATCTGGTTTGTTCTCTCCCACAGTAGGTTATTGCTGATAGTGTCTGGCCAACAGATCCGAAGTATTTTGCGTAGACAACTGTTAATCAACACTTGTATTTTCTGGATGACGGCTTTCGTAGTTTACCAAATTTCCGCCCCATACAGTAGAACCGTCTTGACATTTGTATTGAAAATCCTGACCTTGGTGTTGGTTGATAGTTGTTTTGAGTTCCAGATGTTCTTCAGTTGTAAATATGCTGCTCTTGCTTTGCCGATCCGCGCTTTCACATCTGCATCAGATCCACCGTGTTCATCAACGATGCTGCACATATATGTAGAAGCTCTTACCTTTCCCAAATCTTCTCTATCAAGTGTGACTGGATTGGTGCATGTCGTATTGTATCAGAGAATCTTGCTTTTCAATTTTTGTATATTGAAGCCTACTGATGCTGAGGCTGCTGCTACACTGGTCGTCTTCTCCTGCATTTGTTGTTGCATGTACGATAGAAGAACCAGATCATCTATGAAGTCTAAATCAACCAGCTGCATCCTATCCGTCCACTGTATCCCATGTTACCCCCCCCCCAGATACATACATTGAAAAAAAAGAAGCTTTTTATTAAGTAAAGAAATTTTTGATAAAAATCAATGAGTAAAATTGATTTTATTATTTTTTTTCCAAAATATGCATGTATCTAAGTGCATCTATTTCCTGATATGAACTTTTCGCTAAAGAAATTTTATTTCTTTTATTTGTTTTAATTGTATATAAATATAAGTTATTAAATTGAATTATTTTTAAATGTTCATTGTTTAGTTTAAATATTTCAATCATCTATTGAAATTGAATAAAAGTAATTTTATTTAAGAAGAAGAAAGAAAAATAGGCGATAGAATATGAAATTAATTTATTTTTATTTGATTACATGTATACTATTAATTTATAGTGATCAAGGATTTTCACATGATGATTATGATGACGATGCTAGTTCATTTTTCAATAATGGAAATGATTTATATGGTGGATATTATTCAGGAAATTATGATGATGATCATCAACATCCTCCACCACATAATCCAGATGATGGAGATCAATCACCACCACCACCACCACCACCATCACCACCTCGGCGTCCTGATGATGGTCAACAACAACAAATGCCTCCACCACCTCCTCGTTCGCCTCCTCAAAAACCTCAAGGACCAGAACGACCTGATGGTGACGGAGATCATCATCGGCCATACAATAACCGCAGTCATCATCACCGATATTATGATGATTTAGATAGATATGATATGGAAGTGAGAGATTTAGTTTTCGGTGGATATCATCATCATAAACCAAGATATTATGGAGAAGGTCATGGTTTAAAAGGTGAAGAAGCTTATGGTAATACACCAAAAGATCCTACCAAATATGATCGATATGGGAATTATTTACCTGATTATCTCAAACAACCGCAAAATACTCCACCGCCTATACCTATTCCTAATGCATTACAAAACGGTAATGGTGGATCAAACGATAAAGAATCTAATGGTCACACACCAAAAGATCCTACCAGATATAATCGATATAGGAATTATTTACCTAATAAGTACGTAGATCCGGAAAATCTTCCACCACCTATACCTGTATCTGACGCAGGACAAAACGATAATGATGGAGGGGAAAATGATAAACCCGATGAAGAAGAAGAGAATGAATCTAAGCCGAAAAAATATGTTAAATATAAGAAATATAAACCGTCAACCAAACGGGTATCAAGTAAGAAAAACGGAAAATCGAAAAAATACGGAAAGAAAGGAAAGAAAGGAAAGTATGGAAACAAAGGAAAGTATAAAAAATATCGAAATAAGTATACGACAGAAGCGATGCCACAACCAACACCATATCCAGAAGAGCCAGTTCCTCCACCAAATGAGGAAGACAACGGAGATGGCCAAGAATAGCGATAGTGGTAAATACAGATGAACCAAGCGCAAATGAAGAGAAAATGAAAAATGATCTTTATCTTAAGCTAGTATGAATTGTTGATACAAATGAACTGTTATAATAATAATAATAATAATAATAATAATAATAATAATATAATACTATATATTACAACTAGTAAATACAAATTATTTATTAGCTAATTCACTTGTAAATGTATTCAAAGTGAAAAAAATATATACGAGTAATTAAGAAAAGAGTTGCGAGTTTCATTTTGCTTTCTAATATGAACATTTATGGTAACAGTATTCATAGTATAGAAAAATCCTTCGTCAAAACTGATTACATAATGAATAAGTAAGATTAATGAAGAAATGTCATGTCTACTAGAAATAATCATTTATATTCTATATAAATAATGAAAGATTATTTTCTATAATTGAACCGTAGTATAAAAGGCAATCGATTTTCTATATTAGAATATTTAGATTAAAAAAACAAAATAGGATCACTCCAAAAGAATTATTCTTTGAAAGTAATCTATAGAATCAAAAGAAATTGAATTGAGGGGGGGTGTCGAATCTATATATATTTTGAAGATATTTTAATATACTTTTCATTTCATATTACATGTGTCATTTACACCTTAAAGTAAATATCTATTTAAAGTATTGTTTCCTTGAAAAAGCTTAGACTAGATTGCCAGACGAAACGTAGGATTTACTTCAAATTCTTTCGCTGAGATTTTACAACTACATTCTTCTTCTTTAATTGTTCATGTTAGTTTGATAATCTATTTAGTCTATAGTTAACCAATGAACCATATACTTTTATATCTATTTGATCATTGTAATGTTTGAATAATATTCCGTTGAAAAAGTTTAGACTAGATTACTAGGTGAAATGTTAGACTGCAGTCTTAAGCCTCAACAAATTTAACCCAAAATTCACCCCATTGCACAAGCAAGTGGCTATCAGGACTCAGTAGCTAAGTGGATATATAGCGACTCACGTGCAAATGGGTTTATTTTCATTTAACCCAGTTAAGCCCTTTTTGTTAACTTATTTAGCGGACAAAGCCATCCGCGCTATGACAATTTATTGTATCCTTATTATTATTTTGCGCTTGTATGAAATACGTATGCTTGAATATTGATTACTGCCTACGCATTTATTCACTCTGCTAATCTTACCACTAACCGCTTATTCGATTCGATTACTCATTCATTTCACATGGTATATATATGTCCATGTTATTCATATTGAACACAATCGCTCACTCGCTCGCACGGTCTCGTCACGCTCTTGCTCTGGCTCTCGTTCGCTTGCTTGCCTTTCGGCACAACTCTTCTATGCTTGTTTAACACATCTGTACATTTGGATATATGTGTGTGGTTTCGCAATAAACGTAATCGACACTTCGTATTGGCCTTCTGATTAATATACCGTTGGTACGTTATATAGAACGGTTATCGCGACGAACTGTATACGAAGTTTAAGGATTATATCAAATACCGACCACCACAGATAACGCGATGGCGTTTGAAGTGAATGGTACTGGGTTCGAGTCCCAGGGTAAATATCAACTCTGAGATGCAGGTACACCCAGCTGACGAGCCCCAAATAGGACGAAACGCGCATCCTGGACTCTATTGCTAGCTACTATCCATCATTGCTTACAAAAATGTTAGACTTAATTTCAATTTATTCGCTTAGATTTTACAAATACATTTCTCCTTTATTATCTAAGATACAGTGAAAAAAATCAGTTTTTTTTCTTATTTACATCTGAACAACTGTTAAGATTTCAGTGGAATAGTTTAACAAATATTGAATATGGATTATATGGAAGAAATAAAATATGAAAATTATATTTGAAATAATTGTACATAATTAATTTTATAATAATTCCAATATTTCTCTAGGCTAATCGGTCTGAAATATTTCAGGAAAATAATTGATTCAGTTAGTCAGTCAGTTACAACAAAGGACCAGGCACATATATGCATCGATTCAGGTTACCACAGCTCCCTAGCACAACAAGATGAACACTAAATTCATAGAAGTAGTGACATCAATGGTAGTAATATATAAAAGAAAGATTGCATATAAGGATATAATACAGGGAAAAAGAATTAGTTCGTAGAAAGAAAGATATGAAGCGACTTTAACCTCACGGTTTAAGGGAAGACAAAGAGTGTAAACACTAACGTTATTGTGATCAATTCTGAGCTATGTCTGCAGAGTCACGCAGACCCCAACCAAGTGGTCTGCATTTAGCAACATGGTTCAGACTATAGAAGTCAGTGACTTCAAGGACTGATATCATGTTTTGGTTTGACTGCCTCTAACTTTCTTCCAACTGTCTCAAACACTAATCAGCATTGTGCGTCGTGGTAATCGGTGTTCAGGCATACGTAACACGTGGCCCAACTATCTCAGTCGATATAGATTCACAACCTCAACAAGTGATTTACCATCATTCCCTAATACCCTGTATCTAACCTCACTACTAGTTAAAATTCAATCGTTTAGACTATTTTAAATATAATATTTTCATTTAATATTTTTATTGTTTTACATAAACGTTGTTACGAGAAAACACTCTGAGCTTTTTGAAGTCTTATTCAACCAAATTTCAAGTTCTCTTTTCTATGTTCTGTTTGTTTGTACTTATACTAAAATTATCCCGATAATATTGATTTATTGTTTAGAGTGCCATAATTCATACTAATTTTCTCAAATATCTTCACTTCAGCAGTCATTCAGTTTGTCTGGTTGACCTTTATTTTTTTTTTACATATAAATATTTGATCAGTTTATGTGAAGTACATTGTTCGAAAAAAAATACTTTAATCTTATTATTAAAATAGGTTTGCTACTTTGTCGAAAAATGAATTTATACAAAGGATTAAGTGAAATGATAGTTGTAACAGTTAATTGTAAGACAATCAATGAAATCGATGCCAAGTTTGGATTTGATACATTCACTTGATGTTACTTACTTGTTTCTTCCCATTGTTATTTAGGACTGCAATTGATCAGCCTCTTGTTGGCATATGTACATCCTGTGCGGATTGCCTCAAAATAGCCTTAAGTCACAAGCTTTTTAAGCAAAGATTAATAGTTAGTGGTTGTTTTGACAGATTGATCACCACCAAAGATTAATAGTGGTTAGCCATGGAATTCAGAACGCGCGTTTCGTCCCATTTGGGACTCGTCAACTTGATGCACCTGCATCTCAGAGTTGAAACGCGATGACGTTTAAAACGAATGGTATTGGGTTCGAACCTCAGGGTGAATATCAACTCTGAGATGCAGATACATCCAGCTGACAATTCTCAAATGAGACAAAACGCTTGTTCTGGATTTCACTGCTTGCCAATATCCATCTTTGCTTAAAAAGTTGGATTTGATGGTTTCAAATAAGTTGAGCATTGAATGGAAAGTTAATAGTAAGTATATTTTTTGTTATATCTCAGATGTGACCTAATTTATTTTCCACCTAATCAGACAAACTGAACTCGTCAGTAATAAATGTATTTTTTGTTATATCCCAATGAGTAAAATAAATGTATTTCTGACGTTTCGTGACTTTGGTGGAGTTTTGTTCTCTGAGCTGGATGGTTTGGTCGTGGAGTTTTCATCGTCCTTCTGAACGACATCATCAGCACAAACTTCAGATAGAAGTGAAGTGTTCGAATTTCTCCATATGTGTTTCATAGCTCGTTCTGTGCACCTCGATGTTGATTGGTTCGTATTGACCTTAAATTTATCATTGTTTACTTCTTTGTTTTGGTTGTGTCTCCCATGACTTAATGTAAGCCACTTCTTTATAGTAAATAAATAAGTGGAATAAATTAACAAATGAATATACTTAATTATCTATGGAATCAAAAAACATTTTGATATGTAAGTTTAAGAAATGTAACGATTTTGATAAATACAATGATAAATCAAGTCATAGAACGTAATCCTTTCATTTACAGAGTTCGAGTCTTATTCTGTGCATAGCCATAGCTTCTAATATTATAAAAAGTTGTAAACGATAAAGTTTTGACAGATTTAGACAAACTCAGACAATATCACAACCAATACATGGTCTATTTTAGTAATCTAAATTATGTCAATGTCCTAGGTTTCAAACTCAAAACTGATTTTCTATGCTCTGTTCTACAAGTACGTTTAAGTGTTATCTCCTATGTGTGACAAAAAATAACTAGTTACTCTTAATTTATCTTGCATCAGAGACCCACGTGTACGCTCAAATCTGTATACGAATAATTAGACGATGTTTATCGTTTTACACATAATGAAAAAATATTTTCATTCGTAAATATCACTTGAAGTTTCTCTGTTTTTTAGAAAAGCAAAAAATAGGATGTTTCTTAAATAGACCAACTGTTTGGTCACCTATATAAACAAAGTGTGTTTCTGACAATAGTCTTAACTTTAAATTAGTTTTCTTCTCTAAGTAATTTAACTAGAAAACTGTTGGAAACTGAAGGAGTTAGGCAGTTAGTCTGTCCTTGTATGGAACTTCTTAATTATCTACACCTTATCAAAAACCAACCTCAAATTCAGAATTTTCTTATTCTACGCTTTTTAAAATGTTTTTATTTATGAACTTACAAGGGTTACTAATCTTTGTCCAAGATTGTTTTCTGGGAAAACATTTGTTATTATTGCAATTTGTACCAATGATACTGCGCATACGATAATACAGATGGTAAACGAGATTCCATTTTCATAGTTGAATTCATGAGTCGATCTAAGCTAGACAACCATTAAAAACCTAAAAACACTAAACGGCCGTTCCGTCCTTATATGGGATTCCTCAGCAGTGCTCTTCCGCAGTCTCGCACTTGAAAACCAATCCCCACAAAACTACTTCAACAACCGGTTTATTGGTATGAAGGTTAAGCGTTCGCAAGCAAGACCGGAGGTCCTGGGTTTGAGTCCGGCATGCGGGATCGTGAGTGTGTACTGCTGAGGAGTTCCGTACAAGGATAAGACGGCCACCTAGTGCTTTTGTGTTTCTAATGGTTGTCTAGCTTAAATCGACTTGTGAGTTTAACTAAGAAAATACTGCAAACTCCACATATCCCCATACCGATAAGATTCCATTTGTCTATTTAAATATGCCCATACAGTGAAATAATTTAGGTGACAGTTTTCCAAGTTCATTTTCTGTAAATAGATAATATGTAAGTATTTACATTAATATGCCTTGTAAATGAAATATCAAACATCCTAATGTTTCAAAAACACAAATTATTCTAGCGCGATCATATTTGTAAGTTATTTTCCCTCAAAAAAAGATGAGAAATTTGTTTCTGATTAATAATTAGGTAGAACATTTTATGATGGGTAAAAAATCGAGTTACAATTTCCACATCAAAGACTATTATTCGTCAGACAACCACTGAAAATCATGAGGCAGTAAATAGCTGTTTTGTCGAATTATTGGATTACGTAGCAGTACAAATTCATAACCTTAAATTGAATCCAGTATCTTCAAGACTCTGTGAGCGCTTATCTTTTACATTACTGAGTTTCTATCTACTGGCTCAAACTTTTGAATTTGATTAATTCAAGATATTGAGTAAAAATCTTTGAATGGCACTGAAGGTAAATTTAAAACAATTGGATTACAGTCACAATGTTGTAAATGAATGATCATGTTTAATCAGATTATGAATAAAATTCAGGGCTTAGTAGCTAAGTGGATAACGCGATGGCGTTTGAAGCAAACAGTACTGGATTCCAGTCTCAGAGTGAACATGAACTCTGAGATACAGGTACATTCGGCTGACGAGTCCCGAATAGGACGAAACGCAAGTCCTAGATTCTACTGCTAGTCACTATCCATCTTTGTTTATAAAAATTTAACATAATTTAAAGGATTTGATATAATTTTATTGATTTATGGCTTAAAAAATTCCTCTTTTATGGACTTTTACAATCATATGACTGTATTTCGCACTAAACATAAATATAAAGATCATTATGAACAATGTAATTTTTCCAACAATAAGAAAAAGTATTTACATTTTGAATGAGTTTTATTGCATTAAATGAACATGTTGAAGATAAAAATCAAAATAATTTTTGAATGTATAATTATCTTATTAAAAATCAGTTTTTATTTATCCCGTCGTACAGTTATTGAAAGTAGATCAAGTGTTGTATACGATTCCTATGGAGATGATTCTTCTAATTCTACTGATGATTACAATAATGCAACATTTCCTAAAGAATTTGATGCTTTTTCTGGAAAGTCATACTTCTCATACGAAGATACAAAAGATCCATTCAACGAAGTAAATGTAACGAATGACTATTATTTTGATAATAAAAGTCGTGAAATATATTCAGATGATAATGGATGGTATAAATATGATTTTAATGATGAATCTAACGTGAATGATGAAAATGATGATGAGAAAAATGAAAACGATAGAGACTATGACAGTGATTATTATACAGGGAGGGATCAGAACGAAATCTGGAGTAAACAGTATGGGTTAGAAAGTCAACAAACCAATGAAACAAATTATACATCTCATAGTCCTAGGGAAAACACAGAGTGAAAGGAAAACCGAACATCGACAACAACGACAACACCGATGACGTCATCATCAAGAGACGTTAAAGGTTGAGATGATGTTACATTATTTATTAAAAAATAAGATCCCATATTTTTTATAAAGATGCGTACAGAATAACTGATAAAAGTATACTTAAAATTACTGAAAACTGTGTTACTTGTTATGTCATGTCGGGTAGCCGGTAAATTTGAGGGACATTGTAATGTTGACCAAAGATGTAAGAAGTAGTCTGAAGACGTCAGAAAGGTTTTGTAGACAGTTTTTGTTATGGTATGTTACCAGATGGTTGAGGATTGAAAATATAGAAACATTTTTTGTTCTTCCAAATTTGATACCACCTGTCGGTAATGTCAAGGCAATCAGCTTATTGGGGATTCAAAGAAAAATAATCAAGCATAGTAGCAAAATAATTACATTTAGACGAGTAACACATCCTTTTACAAGGTCCTGAAAAATCTCAGTTTTCTTGCTAACGTATAGTATTAAGCTGAAGGATCACTTCTTTGTTAATTAATAAATAATCATCGATAGAATTCTTAAATCCAGAACAAATTAAATATTTAAGTGAAATGTACATTACAATATTTAGCTCTAAGACATTTGAAATGAGGATGATGCAATTATATAAAATTTTGATGGTAAATCAAGTCAGTGTATTCATAGTTATAGTTAACACTTGCTGTCAGCAAAGATGAATGATGGATAGAAGTGGAATCCAGGACGCGCGTTACGTTTTGTTTGAGACTCGTCAGCTGGATGATCAGTTGCAATCCTAAATATCAATGGGAAGACTTAAACGAACAATGCAATATGAATTGAACCTCACCCTATTGCACAAGTTAATTAAGATAACGTGGTGGCATTTCAAGAGAACGGTACTAGGTTCGAGTCCCAGACTGGACATCAACTCCGGGGTTCAGACACGCCGAGCTGACGAGTCCTAAACTTAACAGAACTTGAGTCCTGGATTCCACTACTAGCTACCATTAATCTTTGCCTACAATGTTTGTGACTTGGGGCGATATCGATGAAATCTGTACAGGATGTACATATATCATTAAGAGACTGGTCAACTGAAGTCCTAAACATAAATGAGAATATTCAAACAAGCAATACAAAAGGAACCTTTATTATCAGTTTTAATTTCTTAATACCATTACATATATCTAATATGTAATCAAACATGCTTACAGGTCATTGCCCAATTTTAAAAATGACAAGAAGAACTTAAACTATTTAGAATTGTAGTCAAGAATTTCATATATATATGAACATATTGTCAGATCCCATTCATTGCCGCATTTTTAACTGAATGCATTTATGCTTATAAAATTTCAATACAGTAATGTATCATCGGACAACGCAATAATAAGATACTTTTCGACGTAAATCTGGTTCTTAAAACTTCTACTAAATAATAACAGTAGTATTTTAATATTTTAAAACAAGATACGATCAGAGTCTAATTAATTATTAATTCTCCTAATACAATTGACAAGTAAAATTATGTAAACTTAGATAATTATGGTCAAGTAGTTTCTATATTGTCTATCTAAAGAATGTAACCGATTAAACTGTAAAATAGGCAGAACTACATTCACAGATTAAGCTGCTATTCAATTGTGTAATTTGTTTAAATAAATCATATTGATTTCAATTATGAAATATGTAATTTACTGAAATCTCAGTGCAATGAAATCTAATTGTTACGTAGATTCAATTTATTTATTTACGAATATATCATTGCATAATACAAATGAAATAAAAGAGTTGAACTTTAAATAGTCTATTGAGTTTTATTGAATTTTATGAAAAAGTTTTATAATTAGGATCGTTGACTGATAGACTGTAAGATATCATAAGTGCTTATTTATTGACCCAAGTTACCATATTAGATAAGCACGAAAAGATGAAACTAAAAAAATAGATCGAAACGATGTAGAAACAAAGATAAAAGGAAAGATCGAACCGTGGAAATACGATATAAAAGACGGGGTTCAAATGTCTGTATGAAGAGGTACTGGGATTTAAGATTAGGAATGCATCAGCGCTATATTGACTGAATCACATAAAATTTTCAGCCAATGATAGTGACTATCACACAGAGCACAGCCACGTAATCTGTATCTATCAAGATGGCTCAAACTATCAGTCGACTATTTAGTGAACTGACTCCACATTTCGGTTACTTCCTGCTAGCTTCCTCCCAACCTACTCAGCTATCATCATACATCTAGGTGTTTAGTGGGTGGGAATATGTAATACATGTTCTAATCATAACAGTCGATAAAAATCCACCACTTATCAATTTTGTTGCATTAGTTATCTATCACTCTGCATCTAACGTCAGAATTGCTAACTCGATGGTCTTCAAATATTTAAGAGCTATACTTCAAAGACATCAATAAATATTTGCAACCTTATAAACTGATTTTTCACCAAGTACCTTATGTCCAGCCTCAACATTCCTAGTGTTTGTTTGCTGGACAAATTTCATACAAGCTAATTACGGCATAAATAAACACTTCAAGGAAACTACATCGTCCAAATTCTATTTGTTAATTCGACAGGATACTATTTTCTTAATAAGAAACATTTTACAAGCAAAGCGTTTGTCATTTTAAGTCAACTTATATTTGTGAAAAATTGTTTTTCTTAAGAAACTTCAATAAGCCCGAAATTGGAATTCAACTACCGGACGTCAATCTAGAGTCAGTCAAAAGTTGTTCCAAATAACAATGGACTAGTAAAAACAGTGGATTACTGCATTTATTTCAGTAATAAAAGTGACACTGTTAAGACTAGGTATTGAGTAAATGAGTGTTAGTCTTGTTATAAATTGATAATTATCAGCAGTTTAACCCAAATTAGGTCTCATATCTTGTATATACAATTCGCTTAACTCAGTTTCTGTATTCCAATATTAGAAGCCGATATAAAAAGCAGTTATTCAGATCTAAAAGGTTTCTATTCATTTTTGTTATATGAATATAATTATTGTACAGTATCACATTTCTCCTCTTAATGATAATAATAGTGAAGAAGCTTTCATGATTATTTCAATATGTGATATACTATATAAATAACCAGCTAGTCGTTATATTTGATTCAAAAAGAGATTTTTCGATGTGATCACTCATATTAGCTACTTCATTGAGTTTTGTTTCCAACTGTCGACTTTTAAGTTCAACACTTTTCTCATGTTGTTCATAATCAGATTCGTTCATCATGAATGGTAAACTGGAAAAATTCAATTGAGGCCATGTGCTATTAGGAAAATTCATTTTTTCAGTATGAAAATCCGTTTCATTTGAATGTAAATTAATTGTTCTATTTTCTGTCTTGATTTTTAGTTCAACATCTAATGAAGAGTTTGTATTCTGGTCTTTTAGAAAAGAATTTAGAAACGATTCATTAACATATTTGAACAGTTGTTCTCCATCTAAATTCTCAGATGTATTATAAGAATCATTTCTAAAATATATGAATATATGTGTTTTGTTGTAAACAAATCTATGACTAGATACATGTAAAACAACTCCTAGCAGATAAAAATGTAAAATATTCATTTTCCGAATGTTTCTTCTGATGAAGTGTTAATTTATGAGGGTGAAATCATTGAATAGCATACGCTCTTATATATATATATATATATATATATATATATATATATATATATATATATATATATATATATATATATATATATATAATCATGTGATAATCAAATCTCCATATCGGAAATTATTTCAGATTTAAATCATTCGTTTCAATAAGATTGAATGAAGCAACCTGATTGAAGCACTCATATCGTAATTGATTAGAAAGCGGTTGAAGATAAGACTCAAGAATATTTATGGAGACATATATACTTTAATTAAAATATACCAAATATGATATTCGGCTATTCTATTCATTATGACACGAGTGACACTAATTTAAGAGAATACAAACGTGAAATCTCTGATATTTTATTCTGAAAAACTTAGATTATTTGAAAAGTTAAGGATTAAAATGTTCATTACATAGTTAAATATGAAGCAGTTAGCTTGTTGAATCTTAACACTTAAATATAATTACTCAATGTTCTATTGAAAATATTTCGCAGTTATGTCATTCTAACTACATTTTTTTATACAAGCGTAATACTAATTTATAATCATACTTGTAATCTAAAAGTTATTACTTTTAAACGATGCAAACAATTTTATCTACTCAGGATAGAGTTCGATAAGGAATATTGATGGGCGATCTATGCTCCTCCATGAGGGGTAACAAACGTAAGTATTTAAACCATTTTATCACCTAAATATTCATCTTATATTTTCATTCCTCAATTATTCTAATTACAGCTGATTGCCTCTACAACAGGAATAAACATATTATTAGGTTAATAAACAGTAAACTATCTCTTTTCTTATCGAATATTGAACATTGAATAAAACATATTCGGTGTTTAATTTAATTACAGCGATAAATAGATATATGTGAAACTTTTTGAAATAGTATGCACTTTAGTAAACAAACTAGAATTATCATTTGATTGGTTATCATTTACAACTAATTTATGTTACATTTTATTAGTAATAACAAGACTTGATGAGAAATAATTACCATTAACTAATTGATCAGTGTACTTTTTTAAATGGTCAACCGTATACACTTACAAATGTATTCTTGCAATTATTAGTATGAGGATTGTAGTATTTTCACTGTTGAATTCCATCATGACAATCATTCTGTTGAGTTTTGTATTTTAAAAGTTTCTGTTTTAATCTAGAATCTTAAATAAAGTTGGGGTTGTGTTGTTTGTATTGAGATCATGAGTCGATCAATGTTAGACCACTAATTGAGAACCTAAGAGTACTGGATGGCCATTTCGTCCTAGTACGATTCTCCACATAAGTACTCAACACGATCCCGTACTCACCATTGAGACACAGAAAATTCAGTCTCACGTGCGAACTCTTAACATTTAGACCACTGAGCCATCATTCAGTGGTGTTACTGTTTGACTTCAACCAATCCACGAAATTGTACAACCATCTTCCACTGTCTTCGGTGAGTCACTGCCTCACACCCTACACGGATTGAACTCCAATGGTGGCGGCTTCTCACTCAAGTTAATTAGTATAATCATTTGAACTAGTTCATAAACTTCAAGTGTTGAGTAGGAAATAAATTAAAACTTTAGAATAAAGAGAATTAAGCGAAGAAAATTTTCTTTCTGCCGAAATCATTTATTTAAGCTGTCGATTTGTATTTATAGTTTTATGGAGTCTCGCATCAATTTATGATGCAAACATCTCTATCCCTCTATAGACATATGTTTCCCATATAACTATAAATATGAATGTACAGCGTAAGTAAATGATCTCGTCGAATTCTTTTTATTCTTATTCAATGACTCAATGGATTATTTTAAAACTTTAAAAGTTTGTTTAAATGAAAAAAATTCTTCTTGAATTTTATAACAGTGGCTATAAAGTTGTATGAAACATTCATATTAATGTAATTTAATGTTAAATTTCTTCAAAATTCAGCACCGTCTTATGTACTGAATGAATTTTATTAAGTAGATTTACTATCTAACGAAAAGTTCCTGGATGAATTGGCTCAATTCTACATTCAATCGACGACAATTGTGAGGCGTAGTTTTGTGGATTTCATAGGTTTTTAAACTTGCATTCTAATCTGTAATTTGCACTTAGTTAACATTGACTAAGCTCGTTTGGTACTTTTACAAAATATCATAATCAATTTAATAAATGTAAGAAGAATGGATGCTTTGTCTCAGAATCATTGTTAAAGGTCTATTCAAAACAATAATTTTGTGTTATGTTCTACTTATATTGACAGAAGTAGTATATAACGCTAGTCAGGAATAAAATGTCTGGTAGCAGAAAGTTCGAAGATCGAAGAGGAAAGAACGGAAACAGAAAACAATTGGTATGGAAATGCAAGAACAATGAAGTCTGAGACAGTTATTGAACATTTTGCAAATGGAGTATTAGTGTAAAATTTTTCTATTTTACCAAGTATGTGTACTCATCTGTGTTCGTCTTCACTACAATTTCACGTTCGCATAGGAAGCAGATGCTCATTTTCTTCAGTCGCTTTTTGAAGTATAATATTGCAAATTACGCTTAAAATAGTGCCACTTAAATAACATAGGTGTTCAAGGGAGACTTGATTTTAGTTACGAGTGATTAGCTGTAAAGTCCATGACAATTACTCTATTGGATGTAGGACTCATTGGAAGGATATGTAACTGAAACAAGAGTATGAAAAAACCCATAATATGTTTTATTTTCGTTTTGGAAAGGATAGAGGGCTTGATTGCCTGTGTTAGTCCTGGAAACAATCGTCTCTCAGTTGATCCGACTTTCTTTTGAAAGAGTCGACAGATGGAGCCTCAATCAATTCAACTCGTTGATGATTTGATAGGAATGTCGATAGTCAGCCGACAAGTAGTTTGTTCTGGGCTTGTGAACATTTTTAGAGTGTCCTCGTAAATTCTCTGTTTTGGAAGACAAGAAAAATGGGGGCATATCAGGTGCAAATTTATCACTAAGCAATTTGAAAGCTGTAATCAAGTCGCCTCTAGTTCTCCGATATCACAACGGGAATAGATTTAGCTTGGCCGGTCGAGCATCATACGGGAGCTTCGCTATTCCGGTAATCAGCTTGGTTGCTGTTCTCTGAACCTTTTCCATAGGCTCACTGTCATTATTTAAGCATGAACACTGTATACAAAGTTTTAAAAAGTTTTAGCGTCGACATGACTAAAAGCCCTACGTAATGACCATAAAGTTCCAAAACTTTGGCGGCTTTTGCACGGCATTGTGCAATAGTCTTTAACTCTTGGCTAACGATGACCCCTTAGTTATTGTGTGTCTAGACAATAGGTAGCTCAGTGTTGTTCATCATGCATGTATCTGTACCTTGATGACCGATATGCATCACAACACTTGGAAGTATTTACCGGCAACTGCCAAGTTAGAGACCATTCAGATAATTTCTCCAGATCATTTTGAAGTTCTAAGCAATCACCCTTACTTTGTATCCCTCTCCATCTCTTGACATTGTCAGTATATGGCAAGACTGATGATGATAGGAGGAAGGTCATGTACAGACAGGAAGAATAACACTGGCACCAAAACTATACCCTGGAGCACTCCACTAATGAGCACAGTTCCTCAGTTAGACAACTTGGAATTCACCTGTACTCTTTGTTGGTTTCCAACTAGGAAGTCTTTTTATCTACATCAATAGATTTACTATTAGAATAATCATGACTTATAAAAATTTAGTAAGAAATAATTAATAATATAAGCTTTATATCAGAAGGGGTTTTGTGGAGATTGTAGTAATTTCAATAGTTGAGAACATGAGTCAATTGAAGCTAGACCACCATGGAAAACGTGGAAGCATTGGACGGCCGTTTCGTCTTATCCATTCCCGTTATTATAATCATCATACGGTGAATATTCATCATAACCTTCATAATTTCCATGTGAATAATAATCATTATATCTATCTGAACTTGGTCTAGTTGGTTAAGCCCTCGCGGGCGAGACTGATAGGTCCTGGGTTCGAATCCCATGATGAATGCGCAGTGCTGAGGAGTCCCACAATAGGACGAAACGGCCGTCCAGTGCTTCCTGGCTTTCCATGGTGGTCTAGCTCCAAATGACTCATGATCTCAACTATTGAAATAAGCTTAATACTTTATATTATCAATTTAAGCTAAATACTAAACCAGATCACAAATTACTATTCACTTGTGTAATTTGTTTAAATAAATCATATTGATTTCAATTATGAAATATGTAATTTATTCGAATCTCGGTGCAATGAAATTTAATTGTTACGTAGATTCAATTCATTTATTTACGAATATATCATTGCATAATACAAATGAAATAAAAGAGTTGAACTTTAAATAGTCTATTGAGTTCATTATTGTTATTATTGTTTATTATTATTATTAATATTACTATTATTAACCTTATCAATTTATTAAGTAAATAAGATTTGCGCTTGGATACAGTGAAATGATGAAATTTATTTGGTTTTTATATTTTTCCACATTGGTAACATTAATTTCTAGTAATGAAAGAGATTATTTCTATAGAGAATTTTATCCAAGTTCAGATAGATATAATGATGATTATTCACACGGAAATTATGAAGGTTATAATGAATACTCACCGTATAATGATTATAATAACGGGAATGAATATAATCACTATTCAAATGATGGTTATAACAACTATGATTATAATTATGAAGATTATTCACACCATGAATATGATGACAATAAAGAACCAAGAGGACATGACGAACACTCTGATTATAGATACCCTCCAAATCCCCATGATCACTATGAAACTAATGAAGGAAATAATTATGATGATAAATATCCTGATGGTTATAACAATCTTGATTATTACAATAATTACCATGTTGGAGATCATGATAATCATCGAAATTCAGATCATAATAATCATCAAACACAGGGACCTGATTATCATGCTTATCAAAAACACGAAAGAGATACGTTCAGATATCAGGACTATGTATTAAATCATTGGAATAATCACAAACCATATACAGATTATGAATATCAATATTACCGAGTGAAACCAAATCATTATGATGAGTATTCGGATAACGGTGTAGGAAACTATAAGCCCAGAGGAGAAAATCCATCACAACGTACTACTATGAAACCTGATAATGATGAATTTAACTTTTGATACAGAACTTCTTATATAACAACATTATTTATTTTTCTCTAAATTAATGTATTAATAATATAATATCACAAGATTATGTATCCGTATTTTAGGTTACTCAATAAGTTACTGCTATCCATCTTTTTATTATCCATAAAGCATATAATATATCATTTGTCTTCTTAATTGTTTATCAGTGAGATGATAGCAACCGATGGTTAGAGACCTTGAATGACATGACTGAAAATCGTTTGCAATGACACAGGTGCATCCACTCTTTGTGTTCTCCCAAATTCTAATCTCCTGAATCCTCCTTGTTTCTTTTCTCTCTTTCCAAATTTATTTCACTGGATTATAATCCTTGGTTAACATCTTGAAATCCAAATATTTCCGACTACTGCTTATACTCTTGCCAAGTCTACCACTATAGGATTTGAATCGACAATTGTATTTCTGTGCTAATGTGATACGGCAACTCGAACTGATGTACCTACGTACGAAGTTCTACATTGTTACTGACTGACTGACATCAGTGTAAAAGATGATACAGCGATATTCCATTTAGTTGAATAAATCAATATTATACATTGTTATTGTAAATTATGTAGATCTTTGAAATTTTCATTTGTAATAGTAATAGTTTATTTTGTTGTTATGCATTATCTTTATCCTATTTTAAGATAACACTTCAATATCGTATTTTTATTCATTCATAAGCTGAATATTTAGGTTTATTATTTGATAGATATATATATAATTTGAAGTGAGTAAAATAAAAAGGAACAAAAAACAACCTGATCTGCAAGATGACGTATGTAGTTTTATGTTACCTAAAAGTTTCATATCTTGGTTACGCTTAAAATTTATTGATTTATGAAAACTGAAGGTGAATATTGTGTTGCGATTCATTCTCTTATGTATCATTTATTTTAAATCAACAGATAGTTTTTTACATTTGATATGTAATAAGATAGTGTGATCATTGTATTAAGAGGGTGGTCTGTGGACAATTCGAATCTCAATCAATACGTTAAAGGTACGAACCACTTTTAGTTTGAGGAATCAAGTTTTATTACTACCTATCACACCTGAAGTATGGTTCAGAGATGAGTGGGCAAATTTGATCTTGTTATTTATATTAAATAGGAGTTTTTATCAGGTTTATTGATTTGAAAATGATATATGAATGAATAAAACTAGACAAACGACCGTAAACATGAATGATTATGCAATAAGAGGTTATTGTTCCGTTTTTCAAAAGTTCAAGCAATCGATGATGCTGAGCAACAGTCTTTTGTTGTCTTAGGTGAGTATGTGCCTCACACCCGACACGGTTGTACTTCATTGATTACGGCTTCTCCATAACCATATATTGATAATTACTAAGTGCTGACTAGTGACTAGATTCGTGAGAAAATTCTCGGAGTTCTAGTGAGAAGCCGTGACTAGTGGAGTTCAGTCCGTGTTGGGTGTGAGGCAGTTACTCATCGAAGACAATGGGAGATGGTTGTGCGATTTCGTGGATTGGTTGGAGTCAAACATTAACACAGTTGAATGATGGCTCAGTGGTCTAAAGGTTAAGAGTTCGTTCGCGTGTGAGACTGAATTTTCTGTGTTTGAATAGTGAGTGCGGGATGGTGTTGAGCAGTGATGAGGAGAACCGTACTAGGACTAAATGGCCATTCAGTGCTCTCAGGTTCCCGATGGTGTTCTAATATTTATTGGTTCATAATTTAAATGAAATTCAACAATCTTCACAGACCCAAACTGAGATTTTTTCAAAAGAATATACTATTCTTTCTTCGATCTTATTGTGTATTTTATCCATAACTTCATCAGTAACCGTTAACCTAAACAATAATTCAAATCTCTTCGTCGATATCAAGTCGAAACTAATGTCAAGTTGCAGAAAAGATATACTTTAAACTAAAGTGAATTTCATCAAACGTATTTCATTGACATATTAAGAAGCATTACACAAAGGTTAGCTTAGATCTTTCCAAAAATCTAAGTGATTCATTTGACATATATTCTAGAAGTATAAAAAACGGGGAGAAACAAGTAAAATATAGATCTATTCAAAGGGTTAGGCAATTATTCATTTCATTCTGATTATCCTGGAGACTGTAACTAATAATATTTTTACCGACTCTTATGTTAATCCAACTAAGACTGAACTAGATATCGAACCATTCGAATTAAAATTTTTTTTGTAAGATTCAGATATATGATTCACTTAAAGACAAAGTTTTAGCTACGGAATCTATTTATCTATATATAATAATTGGTAGTTCTAACAAAGGTTGAATTATAAAAATTTAAGAGCACACTGACTGACTTATGTAACTATTCCAAAAGCAACAACCACCACATAAATAGTATATTGACTAAAAAACATTGAGAACCCATAAGAAAACTGAAATCAGAAGACTTCAATAGTCACGAAACCTAATAAATAATAAGGTATTGTAATTTCAAACAAGATCATTAAAATGAAAAAGATGAATCTGCTGGCAAATGATCAAACTAAGTTTTTAAGATTTGGATAATGTAAGAACCTGATAGAAAAGACCAAGTGTCAGCTAACTACGACATTACAATTAATCAATCTACCTATGTACTAAAACCTTCACAAAAGCTTACTCCATAACTATATGATCTACCCAAATTTTAAAAACCAGGGTTTCCTTTATGTCCGATTCTAGGTATGTTAGAATCACTATATCACTCAACAGAAAAATAGTTAATGAAATTGTTCGGATCATTACACGAAGACTTGTTGCAACGCAGTATTGATGACATAATTGGACTCGTGGATGTAGTAAAAACTATTGATTCAACAGATAACAGTATGTCATCTCTAGACATAATATATATTTATTTAAAATAATCCGCTTACCGAAACAACCAATTACATACGCGAATAAATTCTAAAAAACACAATAATACTGGTCATGACAAAGGAAGTGAAAAAGCTTCTGCCTAACCTCTAAAGCTAAATAGATGGTTCTATTAGTAGGATTTTGTTGCCATTCTGGGTAATATGACTGATATTTTGCCTTTGTAAGTTTTGTTGTCAGCATATATTCTTATATTTCTGTGGATTTTCTCATTCGGTTGACTTGTAAATATATGGTTGACTGACAATTTTCGTACGGATTATAAGAACGAATTGAAAGAAAGCTTATGGAATACGTAAAAAGCTTACTGCATCCATGATATTACCCATAATATCAGTGAATGTTTTCTAATTAAACTATCTAGCTTAAAAAAAACACTATCACATCAACCACCTTAAGTTCAAGTACTCTTCGTCATTTCAAAGAGGACACTAATTGAAGTGAAAACTTTGCACCCAAATTCTAAACAAATTTGAACATATTCACTATTTAAAGACATTCAATATTGTTAGAAATGATATCATTATCAGTCTAAAACCATTGCTAACACCTAGCAGGGCTTGGTCAAGTGAAACAATCAGAAATTACATAACTCATTCGTAAGTATTGAATAAATTCTAGTTAGTATTTAATTTTTTTGTGGCATTGAATAAATTGTCACCGAAATTCGAATCATGTCAATCAATGAATGAATATAAATACTATTTAAAAAGAACATTGATGAAGTATTTTAAGCAAAGATGGATAGTGGCTAGCAGTGGAATCTGTGCTTAAAAAGCTTGTGACTTAAGGCTATATCGAGGTAATGGGCACAGTATGCACTTACACCAACAAGAGACTGATCAATTGCAGTCCTAAATAACAGTGGGAGGATACAAGTAAAGCAACACCAAGTTAATTTAAACTTCACCCCATCGCACAAGCAGATGGCCATCAAAACTGAGTAACTAAGTGGATAACACGATGGCGTTTGAAGCAAACGGTACCGGGTTCGAATCCTGAAGTGAACACCAACTCTGGGATGCAGGTACATCCAACTGACGATTTTCAAATAGAACGAAACGCGCATTCTGGATTCCACTGCTAACCACTATTAATATTTGCTTAAAAAGTTTGTGACTTAAGGCTATATCAAGGCAATTCTCACAGGATGCACATATGCCAATAAGGGACTGATCAATTGCAGTCCTATATAACAGTGAGAAGATACAAGTAAAACAACACCAAGTGAATTTAGTAACGAAGCATGTTTGTATTTTATTCCCACAAAATGTTATCTTGCTAATTTGTACAGCTTGAATTTTTACAATGAAATAATGAGATGATACTTTTGAGTAAATAGAATTTGTTCTTTTTAATTATTCAAATCAAAACCTTAAAGAAAGAAAGAATGATTGACGATCATTTTAATTGAGTACTTAAGAGTTTTAAGTATTGTGATCTAGAACAACATATATAAGCTAACAATATTGTTTTCGATTGAATCCTCATCAAGCTTTACGCTAATATACAGTAATATTTATATCCATATACGAAATTATTAAACCAATCAAGTCAGTTTATTGAGTGAATGATAACAGTTGAATAGATTACATAGATGAGTGTAAAGTAAAAATTGGTAGTGTGATGACAAGTGTACCAGCTGTGATAAGAATAATAAAGGTTTGAATCAGTGTTACATAATAGGAAATAGGTCAGTGATTAGGAAAATATAGACACTGAATTAATATTCATAGAAAGATTATAAGATTACGTAGCAAGGAGTGTTTAGATAATTGGACCGTGAAACATATATTTGAGAAAAAAGAAAATGATGAGAGGGTGTGAAGAAAATTAAACGAAGAAAGTGTACGGAAAATAATAATAAATAAAATCACTTATTAACGCCAAGGGAGAGATAAAGGTATTACAGATTTCTTATGAATACAAAGACTTGGATTGTTAACTCGAAGTCCTATAGCTTCTGCTATGTGTAAGAGGGGAGATCGAATCCCATAACAAAAACTAGTACGAATACGATAAATAACTTTAAATGACTTATTTCTGCCTACTACATGACTGCCATCGATCAAGTGTGATATAACCAAGCTGTGTATTATCTTGACAGTACCTTTTCCTAACCACGAAGGGAGGTGTTCACTAACTCTTTGGCTAAGTTGTCTGGTAGTGCGTCCAATATAGCTTTCTCCACAGGAGCAGCTAAATTCGTAGATACATGTAGAAGTGGCATAACCAGGTAACTTATCCTTTGGCTGAGAAATCCCCATAGATCGGTCGAGTACGATAGACAGAGGTTAGCTGCATTA